ATGATCATGATCAGTGCAGTCGGTGAAACCAGACAGACAAAAGAGACGCACTATTCCTGATTCCATCTGCGCTGACCCCAATGTTTAGGCATGGACCCTTGGCCACGCCTCCTTCGCCCCCTGCCACTCGCCTCAGCCCACTCACAGCCCGCTTTCCTCCTCCGCTGCCCTCCCGCAGCCATTCTCCACGGCCAGTGGGCCCTTGGCCCTCTGCCCGTCGCCCTTCGGCCCGGCCAATTCACCCAGACACCCTTTGTCCCGGGCCTTTGGCTGTACGAGACAAATAGCCCCCAGCCATGGGGCTGCGGGGGCAGCGTGCGATGAGCAACCCCAGGGGCTGGGGGGGGNGGTGGCTGCTCCTCCTGCTGCCAGTCCCCCTCCTTCCGATTCTGGGGACAGAGCTGCAAGGCCCCAACACTTGCAGAGCAGCCACAGCACTTTAAAAAATCTTGCATCACAGCTGCCCCCCCTTCAGTCCCTGGGATTGCCCATCGCACGCTGCCCCTGCAGCCCCATGGCTCCTGCCTGCCACCCGATTGGCTGGGGGCTATTTGTCCCGTACAGCCAGAGACCCAGGACAAACGGTATCTGGGTGAATTGGCCGGACTGAAGGGCGGCGGGCAGAAGGCCAAGGGCCCACTGGCCATGGAGAATGGCTGCGGGAGGGCAGCGGAGGAGGAAAGCGGGCTGTAAGTGGGCTGAGGTGAGTGGCAGGGGGCGAAGGAGGCGTGGCCAAGGGTCCAGGCCTAAACCTCCCATTCCCTTCCTGATGGGGGTCTTCCAGCCCCTGAGTTACCACTGTGAAACTCACACCGAAGGAGTAGGCGGCCAGTCAGTTCCCAGGCTCCTTCGGTCTCTGAGCAGACACTCTGTGAGACTCACACTGGGAGGGCGAATCACACGGGAGGAGTCAACAACTCAACTACAAGCCTCCTCCAGTGCCCCAGCTGAGTCTCAAACTGGAAGGGAATCCTTTTGGATCGCTTCCCTCCCAACTTCATACCCTGAGAAATAATGTCAGCTGCAGCCAGATCTCTTGGAACCAAAAGTAAACCTGGTGACGCACTTTAATACCAGGTATTGCCATCTCAATAAATTAATATCTAGTTTTTTGCTAGGGTGAGACATTATGTCCTCGAACTGGAAAATAAATCTGTGTGACCCTTTTAAATTCTAGATGTGGCCATTGAAACCCTGAGTAGATCTCTTGCCTGGCTTAATTTAGGCAGGATGTTGGTTCTTAGAACCAGAAAGCATCTCAATGGCCCTTTTTAATGCTGGGTGAGCCGGTGACTGATAATAGATTTTATAGTTTTCTGCCTGGCGTAAATTTAGCCACAGCCATGGTTCCTAGAACCAGAAAGAAAACCTCAACCGCTCTTTAATGTCTGGTGTGGCCAGTGATTGATAAAAGATTTCTCTTTGGAATAATTTTATCCACGGCTTTTGTTTAAAATGTGTAAGTTATGTTTTGACTGATAAATGTTAAACATGACACACAGTATGGCGGTCACCTCAAGAATTTTGATTTCTTTTGTCACACACATTTGTCTTTTTGTTCCTGAAATTTCTGTTTGACATGTATTTTATGTAATACAATACATTTACTCCTGATTTACTGTTGTTAAGTAGTTGTGATGCTTATGGGTAGACAAGTTTTATCTTTTGCCTGTTTTTATGTATTCATTCTTATCATCATCTCTTCACCAAGAGAGATACCTGTTGTGATTATTTATGTATTTGAACACTGAAGTTGTGTTTTCTTTCTTCTGAGAAAAATCTTTTGATGACAACTGTGGTTCCTTTTACACCTCACCTTTTGTCAAAAATGTCATGTTAAATTAGTGAACTATTCAACCCATGGTATTTTATCATCGCTTTTGTAATTTTTGTGTGACTTTTTATCCTTAAAATATTGGATTATGCTTTTATGTATTTTATCTGTAAGACTGTGTTATGTTTTGAATTGTTGTACAAACTGTTGCAACTGGGTAACGCTCGGAAGATATGATGCAGTACAATAAAGTATTTTTCAAGTCTTCCTTCACTACATTTGGGATCCTACAGTCAGGAGCCTGGACCTGTCGGGCACCTTGTGCCTCCTGCCCTTTGCGGAAGTCACCGAGGATCATCGTTCGTAAGGATTTGGAGCTTTGGTATATTCAGAAATGTCCTCTTCTACCAAAATAAACTTCCAATGAAGTTCTCTCTCTCTCTCTCTCTCTCTCTCTCTCTCTCTCTCTCTCTCTCACTCACTCACCTATTATCTATCTCACCTATTAATCATCTATATCAGACATGTCAATCACTCACTCTCATCTATTATCTATCACCTATTAATCATCTATATCAGACATGTCAATCAATCACTCTCACTCATCTATTATCTATCACCTGTTAATCATCTATATCAGACATGTCAATCACTCACTCTCACTCATCTATCTCACCTATTAATCATCTATATCAGACATGTCAAACACAAGGCCCAGGGGCTGGATGTGGCCCGTGAAATAGTTTCATGTGGCCCGCGAAGCCATCCCAGAAACAGTGAGGGAACGGCCCCTGCTGCCTTGGCCCTGGCCCAGGCCGGCTGGCAGCCAATGTACAATTTTGTGGTGGCCATCTTGGCACTTGCCCCGGTGGACCATGCCTTGGTGCTTGCCCCGGTCCCACCCACTTCTGCCAGAGACCCTCAGATCTGTCCCACTCCTGCCCAGGCACTCTTGACACGGAATGATGTAGAACTGGCCACACCCACCCAGTAGGCCATGCCCACTCAGTAGGCTGCACCCACTCTGCCCCCCCCCCAGAGCAACCCCTATGCTGATGCGGCCCTCAGTGAAATTGAGTTTGAGACCCCCTGATCTATTTCTGCGACATCCGTTCTGCAGATGGGCAGGTGTGTTCTGCATTCTCTCTCCCCCCCCCCCGCCCCACAAAAAAACAGGCTGGAAGAACCGTCGGTGCCTCGAGACAAGGGCAGCCTTCCTGAACCCCCCAACCCTGCATTTTCCCCCTCCTCCTTCTGGAACGAGGCAGGTTCTGGACCGAGTCCGCACATTGCCTGGGCCTGCTGGAAGTTTCAGCCCCTTAGAGAAAGGCAGAGGGTGATACAACCCATCCCCTTACCTCCTTCTACCACCACCACAAATGCACTGGGGGATGGCCGAAACAAATAAACCTTTTAAATGGGATTTTAAGGTTATTTATTTCCCCCCCCCAGTCTTTATTATTAACCCCTTATTAATAGGGCGACGGGAGGCCCTTTTGCCATTTTAAAGGTTTATTTCTTTTGGTGGCTGCTATACCCGGCCTGGCCCACGGGAGGGCGCTGTTTTCCCTCCCTTAGCGATAGCGGCATTGAGGCCGTCGAAAAGGCCTACGATGGCCTCGATGGTAAATGCTATGGGACGGAAAACTGTGCCCTCCTGTGGTGAAAAACGGGTATTGCGGCCGCCAAGAGACATAAGCCTTTTTAATGGGGTTTTAAGTTTACGGCCTAACTCGTTGCTCGGACGTGAAGTCCGCCGTGCCCAGAAGGTCGTCTGTGAAAGGAAGTTGGAGGATGACTAAGAAGGAAGGACCGGAAGTCGGCCATGATGGAAAGGTCCTTTTCCCACAGGACCTGGGGGACGGCCGATATCGAGGGACAGCAGAAGGCCGCAGAAGGCCGAGGGAAGCGGCCCGTCCCTTTCGGAGGAGCATAGAGTGGCGACGCTCTGGCTGACGCTCTGCGCTTTGGAGCTTAGCTTCTCGGTGTCCCGATCCTGGGCTAAAGGCCTACGACGGCCTCAATGTTAATGCTACGGGACGGAAAACGGTGCCCTCCTGTGGTCACAAACGGGTATTGCAGCCACCAAAAGAAATAAACCTTTTTAATGGCATTTTAAAATTACGGTATTCTCGATCTTTATTAACGGTATTAACACTTTATTAATAGGGCCAGGGGAGGCCCGTTTGCTGCAACGCAGGCACGGAAGAAGAAATCTGCTTCAAAAGCCTTAACCATAGTTAAGGAGGACTATGATGCCCTATTAATATTAATAAGGTTTTAATAATAAAGAATAACCTTAAAATGCCATTGAAGTTTTTTAATGGCTGCTATACCCACTTCAACCACAGGATGGCACTGTTTTTTGATCCTTAATAGCATTCAATAGCTTCAATAGATTAATAATGATCTTAAAATCATATTAAAAGGGTTTATTTCCTTTTGTGGCTGCTATTCCTTCTTTAACCGTAGGACTCAATTCTTCCCAGAGGGCTTGACCGCTTTAGTCTCAATAAATAACTTCCCCTCTCCCAGGAAACAGGCGATGGGAGCATAAGCGGGCCTCCTGTGGACTTTCCTCACTGTTTTTAAATATCCCATGGCTACAACCAACCCAAGCAAAGCGGTTACCAACAGAAGAAGAGACGTGGAGTTCCAGCTTGAACTTAACAGAACCTCTCTCTGCAGCAAGAAAATGGATTAAACGGGGGGGGGGGGGGGGGGGTATGGGGACCACCAAGGTATCTGAAAGACCTGAGCTTTCCTAAGAGTAGAATAGCATTTTTTAGAGCCAGACATTTTAATATCCTCTCCTTGGCACTACTCCTGCAGGGCAGGAATGATAAAACCCCAAGACTGAGTGAAGGTGTACTTGTGGCAGTGGGGAAGTTGAAGATTTCTCTCACACGTGTGTCCTATTGCGCTGCAAGTCCTACAGTGGCATCAGATCAACCCACATTCTCCCTCTATTTGAGAGATTTCCAGGGAGATCAGGTCATTTCTACATGAATCATCTCCTCCAGGATTCAAATCCAGCCACCACTCACGCAGTAGCAAAGTTTTACGCTGCTGCAATGAAATAAGGAAAAAACACCCACAGAGCTAAAGATCCTTATTCATACTACTTTGCTTAGTTATTTTCCAATGGTTTTTAGAGAATGTATTTATTTTAATTTTTAACTTTTGTGCTGGTCTGCGAGCGTTAAGAACAATTGGTAACTATTCTGACAAGAGGACTTTTAATCAGTATAAATACAGGCCTCAATATAGAGTATTGTGGGAAAGCTTCAGGAGAGGAGACGATGGCTGATAAATGGCTTCTTCTTCTGCTGCTGCTTAAGTTTCAACTTGATTTCTTCCGGATTGCGTGGCAGGAAAGTTTGGAGTGCGCAATCAAGTGGTTTTAGTCCAAAGCCAAACATTAAAATCAAAACCTGTGATTTGGATCTGAAAAATATTTCCTTTAATTGTATGCATTGTACTGTGAGGAATTTGTGGGAATGAGGATTGGGGGGGGGGCACGGCTTAGAGTCTAATGTTTCTGCTCAGTTCTTGCTCTTTATGTCAAACACCCAGAAGTGTGAGAAGGGGCTCCAGAAAAGGCCGTCAGTCTGTGGGTTCTAGGACGGACTCGCTCAGAGCCAGATCCCAGTAATGCTCAGTGCCGTGTTTCTTAAAATGCTCCCGTGCCATGTTTTCGGTAGGACACTGCTTGAATTTGATCTCGCCAAAGCTTCGCTCCTTTGCCGTGCCCTAGAAGGACACAGAAAGAGGCAGGAGAGATTCTGAGCCAGCCTACGTATCGAGGGTTGCATTGCATGGATTGGAAGCTCGCGTAATACAGATAATTCCTCTTTCCTTGCCCGTGGCTTACTGGTGAAGCCCTGAGGGATTGGTTGAGCACAACATGCTAAAAACACAAACCGTGCTTGACATCTCCCACTTTTTGAATTAAAGAGGAGGGGTGCTCTGAAGGGACAACTGTACAGAGCACCCACAGTTCAGTTCCTGAAGGTGTTTCTCTGTCCTGTCACTAAGGGGGCATAATAAAAGCCAGGGCTTTCTTAGTGAACACTGGGAATCAACCAAATGCCTCAGTTAGACCGTAAATATTACTCACCTCCCAAACCAGGGAACATTTGTTGGTTTTTTTCACAGATTCCTCATCAGATTCCTCATCATCTGCAATTAAAATAAACTGCTTAGGGTGTAAGAATGGGGAAACAACTGAAGATGGATTTGTCTATTCAAAAGTACATTCAAGATCGGTCAGATGGGAAACATCCTTTATTCAAACAGAAGGTGAGAATTCTGCCCTTCCCTTAGAAAAGGCAGGATATAGACCTCTGCCAGCTCAGTAGCTCATGAAAAGAAGTGAAACTATTGGGCAAAAGTAAAAGACCAGCTCACAAAGCCATCCAAGTTCCCTCCAGTTGCCCCCCAACCTCCTTTTAGCCTTTCAATTTCAGAACCAGCTCGATGTCAAAGAGGGCTGCCCCCTTTCTAGGTCATTTGATGACTTTAAAACTTTCTTACCGTCTCCTTTTGTGTTGGACGTCTGCTCGTCCCATTTTATTCGATGTAACATGAGCCGCTTAAATTTCTTCTGTGCTTTGGGACCTTGGGAAAGAAAGCAGAAAAGGTAGAACTGACAAGCAGCATTGCCGCAAGCGATGAAGCACAACTTCACAGGCACAACAAGTGGGAGGAGGTCCCAACCATAAACTGAGACATGACTCTCAAAGGAAAAGCCAGAGAGACGAGTTCCTTGTGCTGCTTTTCAAAGCACACGTTTCTGAAGACTTGGCCTACCCCGACACGATGGCCTGAAACCGGTTTTGTTTACTCCAGGTTGCGCCAAGTGATGCTATTTCTGCGACATCCGTTCTGCAGATGGACAGATGTGTTCTGCATTCTTTCCCCCCCCCTGCCCTCCGCCCCACAAAAAAACAGACTGGAAGAACCGTCGGTGCCTCGCGACAAGTGCAGCCTTCCTGAACCCCCCAACCCTGCATTTTCCCCCTCCTCCTTCTGGAACGAGGCAAGTTCTGGACCGAGTCCCCACATTGCCTGAGCCTGCTGGAAGTTTCAGCCCCTTAGAGAAAGGCAGAGGGTGATACAAACCGGCCCGCTCGCCCGTCTCCTTACCTCCTTCTACCACCACCACATTGACATCTTTGTGTAAAACCACAACTCCGGTTAAGTACAACTGGCTGGCGTTCGCTTCAATTTTGAATTTCTTTGCTGGGTTACCTAGATTCCGGACTCTGGGGGCAAAAGAAAGGGGCAGATTGGGTCGTGGCCAAAGGAGGGAGACCGCAAGAGGGCAGGGGGGGGTAAGGTGCCCTCCCTTTGGAAACGAGCGACGCTCACCTGTAAACGGCTATGTGAACGCCCTGCGAAATGTCCTCCTTAAGCTTTTTCACCTTTTTCGCCTTCCTCTGTTCCACGGTCAGCTTTCGGGCGGCGTTTGCCTCCTCGTGAGCTCTGCAAGCACATCAATGCGGCCCACCTAAGCCCCCCCTGCTGGGATGCCCGCAGGGAATGGGCAGCTTCTGCTCCTGCAAGGTGACCCTCCCCAGGTTGCCCCCGCCAGGTCTGCGGCAATACCTTTTCTGCATTCGCATCCCCACCCACCTCTCCTTCCGTTCGGCTTCCCACTTTTACTGCTTTCCATATTTATAACCTAATGGAAGATGGTCAAAGGGATTGGATGTTTTGGCCCCCTTATCGGCTTCAGCATACACCAAAAGCCCAACCAGATCCTCCCCCAGAATCCTTGGCCCCTGGGAGGGAGGGAGGGAGGGAGGGAGGGAGGGAACAAACTCCAGGAGTTGATGGCAAACATCGCAAGGAAGAAGACGTCAGCCATACTTCTGCCTCTTGGCCATCTGTGCTCGGACATGGGCTTCTACTTTGGTTGGGTCCTGAACAGCTTCTGTCCCCAAAACTCGCATCAGGTTTGAGATTCGGACTGCGGAGAGAGAGAGAGAGAGAGAGAGAAGAGGCCACAAGGGCATTGGCTGCTGTCCCTCAAGAGGCTTCTCCCTGCCCCTCAGGCTGCTCTAAAGAGGCTGCTGCTACCTTTTGGCTCTGGAGGGGGCATCAGGCCGAGTCGGACTTTCTCCTGCAGCTCCTTCTGGGCTTCCCGGCGGGTCTGGCGACGAAGTTTCTTCTGCTCTTTTTTGGTCAGGTAGACCCCAAGGGTCACCGGCAGGTCACTGTCCACTGCAGAGGAAGATACATCATTCCCTTTGTCCCGCTGAGAAAGTCAAGGAACCGGGTGGCTCTCCTTCTGACTTTCTGGGGGGGGTCAACTGCTCCCGAGACTGCCCTTCTTCCTCTTTCCAAATGGAGCTGGCAGGTGGGGAGGGGGCAGTTTCAAGGAGGGGGTTACCTGGAGGGCTGAGCTGAGCCGGATGCTCCACCAAGTTCGTGATGCCGAAATAGTCCTCCCGTTTAAACAGATCGGTGGCTTTTCTAAAGAGGAAAAGCAGATCCACCCAATGGACAAGGTCAACGCATCCCCTTCCAGGTCATCTGCAGCCCTGTTCATCCTGGCCTGGTTTTGGGCACAACACAGACAGCCTCTCCTGGCAGGCTTTTTACAAAACCCAAGATACAGGGCAGGATTCTACAAACAGCTCGTATTTTCATCCTTGGCATCTGCTCCTGGCCCTTGTCTCCCTCTAGAACAGCGGCCCCCCCAAACCTTTGAGGCATCAGGGAGGGGGCGTGGTTCCGCCTGCTGCCTGCATCCCCATGGTTGGGCCTTTGCTTGTTTGTGTGGACCGGTTGCTGGCGTACCCCGCCCATGGCCCCGGGGATTGGGGACCCCTGCTCTAGAAGATGCAGCGACCGGCCATCCTTCAGAGCACTCCTCGGTTCTCAAGCTAAGGAGACACATGGACAACCATGATTGTCATGGTTCCAAAGGAGTGGAATTGTCCTCCCAGTAGGACAAGGGGAGGATGGCTCTCCCTAGAACCACCTGGAGCTGCTCTGAACATCCTGGGTGCCCTGCACCTTCCCAAAAGCACCTCTGATCCACTTACACGTCCATGCCGTTGGGGATGATGTAGGAGTCCCACCACTCCACCTCAGGAATGTCCCCCTCCTTCACCTCCTTTTTGGGAGTGATAAGGGCCAATTTGGTCGAGGTGTGAATTCCCGTCTTCTTGGCAGCTTGCGAGATCTCTGCCTGGAGCTTTTCTAACTGGGCCTGGTGACCAAAGAGACATTTTAAAGATCTACCAGGAAGCACAATTCCTTTTTTCTGTCCCTGCTTGCCAACTTATCCCTCAGGCGACTGAAGGAGAAACCCCCTCCCTCCCTCAGTGACCCACAGTCTTCCTCCCCCCTCCCTTTAGTGCCCTACCTTCGTCCGCAGCCGTTGGGCTATTTTTTCAAACTTGCCCTTGTCATGAAACCGGAAAGTCCTCTTTGGCCGCTGAGCTGGGGTGATGGGGACCCGGGGGTCAAAATAAGTGTTGGACTCCATGTCCTCCGAGGGCTTCTCCTTCAGCTGCTGCTTGAACTGCTCCCTCTTCACAGCCCGGATGTTCGCCTTGAGCGTCGGCATGCGGTGGGTCAGCTCCACCTCCTTACCGGTGGCGTCCACCGTGCGACCTTGCTCATCCAGAATCAGCGGCGTCGGTTTGCTCTGGTCTTTCAGCTCCACCTTCCTGGGCCGAGACATCCCCAGCACGGCTTGGGTTATCACGCAAGTTCCCCTGCGCTTGGGCGAGCCAGGAGCCCCCGTACTCGGGAATAGGACCCAACTGTTCAGAAACAGCCCATCTGGGGGCTCCATGGCCAGCCCAAATCTCCCACCCTCTGGGACAGGGGGGCACCCCAGACCCTCCTGCTTTCTGCAGATGACCACACTCCTGAAATTCATCGCCAAGCCTTATAAGGCCCCTGGCCCAGCCTCCCCCCAGGGGAGGTGGGGGCTGGGAGCCACAGGACGTGCGGTCCTACCCACGTGCTGCCCGTGTTTCTTGCTGAGGACGTAGGGGCCACCGCTCACTTACCGTGAATATGGAGATTGGACGTTGCTGCCCATGTGACGTATTTCTGCCCTATGGGAACAAATCATTCAGTCGAGTCTCATCAGCTCCCCCCCGACAGGCCCCCCAATTTCACAGACCCTCGGCGGCCTGCGCCAATACTCACGGTGGGGCGATGCCCATGGCATGCAGGTTGGCCAGTCCCACCATGTTGGTGTTGCCAATCAGCCCAGGTTTCAGTGCCAGCTGGGCTTGGATTCGGGCTTGCAACTCCGCTGCTTTCCGGGCCTTCTCAATGGCGTCGTTCATGAAAGTGGCTGCCTGCGAGGGCTGGATGGTGTTCCCGATCGGGAGGCGCTCGGGAGGAGTGGCTGCCGGAGCTTTGGGCTGAGGCCGAGAGAGTTAAACCTGGTTTATGGAGCTGGCTATGGTTTAATGTTAGAGGCAGAGAAAGAGGCAGGAGACTCCGTGCAGAAATTCACTGCAAGGATGAATGGGAAGGGAAGGGAAGGGAGAAGGGAGGAAGGAAGGAAGGAAGGAAGGAAGGAAGGAAGGAAGGAAGGAAGGAAGGAAGGAAGGAAGGAAGGAAGGAAGGAAGGAAGGAAGGAAGGAAGGAAGGAAGGAAGGAAGGAAGGAAGGAAGGAAATCCCAGTACCTGAGGAGCCGGGGAGCTGATGAAACTCAGCTGTTTCTTCCTCTCCTCAATCTGCCGTGTTGCGGCCTCCATCATTTGCTTGATCTGACGGAAGGAAGGATAAACAAGCCAAACTGTGCTACACTTCCTCGTCACTAAATGTTTCTTTTTCATTCCAAAGTCATCCGTGGCTCTGCTGCGCCAGGCTCTGAATCCCATTTATCTACAGCAACCATGCAATTCTACTTTCCATAAACCCGAGTATTTCGTCCAGCCGTGGATGAGGTGCTCCTGGAGAACAACCTGACAGTGGCTCGGGAGTTACAGAAGAGGGGCCTTCTCTGTCAAGAGAGACGGTTGCTGGAATTGGGCATGTCTAGTTTAACGAAGAGAAGGACGAGGGGGGACACGATAGCCGTGTTCCAATATCTCAGGGGCTGCCCCAAAGAAGAGGGAGTCAAGCTATTCTCCAAAGCGCCTGAAGGCCGGACAAGAAGCAACGGGTGGAAACTGATCAAGGAGAGAAGCAACCTAGAACTAAGGAGAAACTTCCTGACAGTGAGAACAATTAACCAGTGGAACAACCTGCCTCCAGAAGTGGTGAATGCTCCAACACTGGAAGTTTTAAAGAAAAGATTGGACAACCATTTGATATGATTGGTTCCGAACTTTTCCTCTAGAAAGAGTGCAGAGAAGAGCAACAAAGAGGATCAGGGGACTGGAGGCTAAAACATATAAGGAACGGTTGCTGGAATTGGATATGTCTAGTTTAATGAAGAGAAGGATGAGTGGGGACATGATAGCAGTGTTCCAGTATCTCAGGGGCTGCCCCAAAGAAGAGGGAGTCAAGCTATTCTCCAAAGCGCCTGAAGGCAGGACAAGAAGCAACGGGTGGAAACTAATCAAGGAGAGAAGCAACCTGGAACTAAGGAGAAACTTCCTGACAGTGAGAACAATTAACCAGTGGAACAACCTGCCTCCAGAAGCGGTGAACGCTCCAACACTGGAAGTTTTTAAGAAGAGACTGGACAGCTATTTGTCCGAAATGGTATAGGGTTTCCTGCCTGAGCAGGAGGTTGGACTAGATGACCTCCAAGGTCCCTTCCAACTTTATCATTATCATTATTATAAGGCGATCGGGGACCCCGTTACTCAAGCACAGATTACGCCAAGGCAGCCCTCCTGACGTGCGGGAGCACCAGTGCACGTCAAGCACCTTCCGGACATGGCAAGGGCAGGCAGCAAACCTGAAGCTTGGTCAGCATCCCTGGGCTTTCGGTGGGTGGGCCAGGGATGACCTCGGGCTCTTCCTCCACCTCCTCAAAGCGGGGGATTCGCCGTTTCTTGACCCCCGAGGACTCCTTAGAAATCTCCGAGTCATCCCCAAACACATCCTGATAAAGGGAACAGAGCAAAGGCATTTTAGCGGCCAGGAAAGCCTCAAAGTGCATCCCAGAAACATAAACCGAGGCCACGCTTTCAATAAAGTAAACCTTCTCCATCTGGAGAATGCACAACATCTTTTCAAGAAAAGAGCGAGAGTGCCCGACAGCTGAGGGTCTGTGGCGAAAGACGGCCTGACTCCAGGCGCTCTCCAGCCACCCCCGGGATGATGCTCAGGAGAAGTTTGGGGGCTGCAACGGAGGGATTTGAACTAATCTGTCCAATGAGACGCTTTAAAGTTCTCCGAGCCCACCTCCTTGCCAAGGGACTGGATGGGGCTCTGCTCCCATCCCGCCCTAACCACCCCCTGAAATGGAGCCAGGTCTTCCTGGTGTGACCCCAACCCTCTCTGGCCCAGTTAGTGGTCACATCACACACAGCAGGCCTGGCAGTTGGGGAAGGCTGAACGTTAGGAAGCAAAATGAAATGGGGCCTTAAAATAGCATTCCGAAGCGTACTATTATATCGTTTTTATTTGATAGAAGTAAAAACCTAAGACGAAAGACTTCTTCCCCAGTCAGAGATGCAGGAAAGAGGGTTACACACCTGAGTCTGTCCTACCACCACTCTCAATGAAAAGAAAAGTCAATGTAAACTATCCTATGACGGGTTTAACAAGCTTTGCCCAGTCTAGAATGAAGAGTTATCCAACTTGCAAGACACGTCAACCCTTCAGCACAAAAGATTAGTCCTTCTGCCAGAGGCTAAGATACAACACTCCATTCACAGCTTCTCAGCTTCAAAACTGATCTTTCAAAATAGAAAAGGTCAGAGATGTGTCTCTCTCTCCAGTGGAAAGGTGCACTCTCCCCCCCCAAAGGAAACTCGCATCAGCAGCCCAGCCAATGGTAAGGGATTCTGGGACTGACGGGGAGACTGGAGACCAAGATGATTACCGCATGTACAAGATGGGAAAGATCCCCCCCAAAAAAGATACATATAATGTTAAATGCAGAAATTCTTTTCAGACAGCAGCCTTAAACTTTAATCGTCAAAATACTTTTATGTCCCATACACAATGGTCCATCAAAGTGCACTGGAAGTCAGAATAAATATGCATAAAAAGTGATCTCTCAAAACGTATTACCGACAAACTGAAGCAGAATTGGGCAAATTCTTGCACAGGGATTTTACCTGCAGTAAAAACACGGCTGAGAAGAGGTAAGCTTTATAACAAATCAGGGTATCTTTTGCAGGCAAAGCAAAAGGGGAAGAACAACCCATAATCAACAGAAACGTTCCGTGGAGAAGCTGGAAGGATGGAAGTTTAGTCTGGACTCCATAGGCCGGCTCCTTCTCCACTTGCGTGGAAAGAGATCGGAGGCAGATGCCAGGTGAGGAATGCCCAGTCGTGCTTATACAGCTGCTACTTCGTCCCAAAGAGAAACAAAATGTAGGCATACAAACCATCTGCAAGCGACAGCTGAACCTCCTTCTTCGCTATTTTGGGGGGTCATACTTTACAGGGACGGTTCCTCGTCCAAAACCAGGGCACACCGTGACACACCTACAAGTTTAAGAGAAAAGGGCTTGCCCATAGTATGAAGAGTGTAGATCACCGCAGTTTAGTTCTTGAACTTCCCCTGTAGCCTAACAGGCCCCTGCAAGGTAAGCCCAGTGCGAAGGAACGGAAGAAATGCCATTGGTGGAGTCCTGCTCTCACGCCCGGGGTTTTTTGAGAAAAGAGGCAGACTCCTTTCCGAAGAGAATAGCAACCTGGAGGGACAGAAATTAATCTTGCAACTGAAGCCTGTTATATGGGGGAGTCTATGACGCCTTTGCTTTAAATGCCAGTGATTTAAAGAAACGGGGAGGGGTGTGTGTGTCTCCAAGTCGATCGACGGGTAAAAAAATAGCCCACTGACAAGTATTTCTCTGTTGTTTAACAAGAGTTACAAAGACCTTTTTCTGTCCCTTACTCAACTGCTGAACTGAAGAGAGGGATCGTGGGAGGGCCCAAAGTTAGTGAAGGATGTTAAGAACGAATCTCTTGACAAGAAAATGAAACAGGAGAGAACTTCTGAGTTTACTAACTTTCTAAAAAAAACAACGGTGGGGCAGTGTTAAAAGTTTCCAGAGGAAGAGATGCCCAACAAGAATGAAACACGGGGCTCAGAAAGTAGTTGGACCCTGTCCACCTGAATTCCCCCCACCCTCCAATTCTATTGGCCCTTGGATCCCACTTTCAGATTTTTGGAGCAACAAACTCAAAACAAAGCAAGTGATTCTCCAGGAGAGAGAGAGGGAGATATTTTTTTTGAGCAGTTTGTTTACCCTCTGAATAGAAGTTGCATTTGGAATGCATGAAGGGCAGGAAAAGGAACTGCCCACTCTAATCTATTCCTAGAGCCCTATTTAACTTCCAGGTGCTCAGAAACACAATTTTAAAGAAAGGAGTCGTCACTTGGCACAGCAGAAAGTGTGGAAGGAAGACGAATGACCGACCAGCACCAAACAAGGACGATCCAGAGGCTCCCACTATCAGAAGAGACTAGGGTATTTTCTCATTTCAAAGCCCAGTCTTTGGGGATTGGAAGATAATTCATCCTGTAAAGTACTACGGCTTCTACACGACCTCAAGAGAAACCAGAGGAGGAGAAAAGAAGACATCCAGAGGTGCTAAAGGATATGAACCCATCGATATAAAACCAATCAATAGAACAACTAGGAAGAAGCTACACAATATGGGACTAGGGAAGAAAAAACAGAGAGACTAAATATAAACCTCAGGCTACTTGCTGCTTCCAAGGAAGATTGCTTTGCAGCTAAATCCCTGCCCCACCCCAATCCAGGTGTTCAAGAAGGGGCTTCTCCACGCCATGAAGCAGGACCCCTGAATTAGCCACGACAAGATGTGTGTGACAGAAACCGTATTAGAAGGCCATAAGCAAAGGGTTTCCCAATTTTCTGGAAAAGCATCAATTCCTTCTGGGGCCGTCTACCGTGCATATTGGCTGCAGAGCGAGAACAGGAGACCGTTATCCTGTTATGCTAAGGATGACGGGAAAAGACCTGGCTGGTCACCACGTGAGAATATCAACCAAGGGCACCTTCAGTCTGACCCGAACAACTGCGTTCCTTACAGAGCGAAGCACAAATGCCCAGATTCCGCTTCTTCTAGGCCTGCGATTCCATTCAAAGCAACCATAAAACTACAGTACCCAACACGACCATCTAATGCAGATGTTTTGAGAGGAACTATTCATCCACACTGACTATGCCAGCTGTGGGTGATGGGAGTTGTCTCCCAAAATATCTGCCTACCGATCCACCTACAATTCCCCGAGATAACCGCTACAAGTCATGCCTTTCCCAACAGGCCTCTTTTCCATCCATGCGATCATCTGCAACAATTTGAGGCCAGCCTAGAACAGCTTGTGCATCCGGCACTTGTAGGCATCGCCGGCTTTCTGTACATCTGTCCTGCCATTTTTCAGTGGGGTTTACGTGCTTTAATTTGCATTATAGGCATTCTCCAGTTAAGGCCAGGTTTTCTCAGACCTAGTCCAAATGAATTGCACACAACAGCAAAGATACTCCACAGCTGCTATAATCGTCACTGTAAGATTTCTGACTGTTTCTGGCTGCAGAATTAAGGGGGGCAGAGCGGTCAAGAGACAAGAAGACCGCTAAGAAAAACAGAATCAACGGGTACTTTTTTCCCCCCCTTTTAACTTTTAGGGACCACAGTACGTAGCCATCTCTGGAAGAACGAAACATTAACGCAAGCAACGCTGCCAGTTCCTGACAACTGCCCCTCACCTCCCCTCACCCCCCTACACCAAAACAAGCCAGAAGTTCAGCTCACCTTTAATTCTCTCTTCCGGTTTCGGTCGCTGTTGGACTTGGAGTGTCGAGAGCTCCGTCCTTCCTCAACGGCTTCAAAGAGCTTATCCACAAACCTCAAGGTGGAGTCATCCAGGAAGGGCTTGAGATGATCTGGGAGGGAAAAACAGTATGGTAGTGCACAAACCCCCCTCCCCCTCAATCGATCTGCCACTATGGACCCCAAACCCCTTGTTTTCTGATATTTAACTACTCCTTTCTTTCCTCAGCATATTCCAATTGCCTGGAGGGGAAAACAGGGCAGCTGAGGTCTTTCACAGCCCTTGGATGGGAAGGGTTCGGGAGGGATTCAGCGGCCCAGCCCTGAGGCTCCATCCCCCGGTCAAGAGAGGTCAGCCCCAGAGCCAGGAGGGCCTGACCGCCTCCCCCCCCCAGGGATCTCGGGGGCCGGGAATGGGCCCAGCCCTCCCTCCCTCCCCTCCCCTCCCCCCGGGGGGGGGAACCTACCGGCCGCTTTCTTCTTGTCCATCCCTTTCCCGACGCAGTTCAGCGCGGCGGTCACCACGGTGGGCTCGGAGAAGCCGAGGACCCGCTTCACCGTCTTCTCCACCCAGGGCTTCAGCTCGTCCAGCTCCCGCTTCGAGAGCGCCATCTTGGCGGGGGGCGCTGGGGGGGGAGGGGGAGAGGGGGTCGCGCGAGGCTGAGAACGGCCGGTTGTGGGGGGGAGAAAGAGGAACACACACACACACACACACACACACAGAGCCCAGCCCCAGGAGGCGGGCCTCGCTCTCTCGCCCTTGCAAGGCCGCGGCTCCCGTCGCCGCCCGGGCGGCGGCACCTCTCCCCGGCCTGGCCTGGCAAGAAGAAGCCGCCGAACGGTCAACAGGGCCGCCGCCGCCCTTCCCTCCCGCCCCAGGGAACCGGGGCCCGCGGCAGCTCCTCACCGGCCTCCCTCCGCGCCTGGGAAGGAGAAGGCCGCGGGTCTCGCGGCCGACGGAGGCGGAACGTCGGCTGTTGGCGGCGCGCGGAGCGGAAGCGGAAATGGGGCCCGAGCAGCCGACTCCGCCTGCGCCGCCCTCTGACCTGGGGGCGGGACTTCCTGGAGGCCGCCGCCGCTTGAGCCGCAACTGTGCTGACGGCGCGCGGCCAGTAGGGGCCGCTGTTGCTTGAGCGCTGCTCTCGCTTTCCGCAGACTTGCCGCCAGGGAAGGGGAGGGGAGGAGGGAGGGAGGGAGCAGTCCCAGCACGGGGGGGGGGGGAGGTGGCCGGGGAAGGGCCCCCAGCCTCGGATGCGGCTGCCCCGAGCAAGGCGGATGCCCCGAAGGGAGAGGCGTCCCCGGCCCATGCCAACCCCCCTGGATCACGTTCAGGATGAGGACCGAATAGCAGCTCTCAAGAAGACCCGTGACATTCTATCGATTTTTATTGACTTCAACACAACTTTTCCCAGATAATAAAGCAGCGTCTCTTTAGGAAGCGGCCTCTGCCATGAAAGCCTTTTGGCTTAGCAACCAAGCCAAGGATCCGGGCGGTTTTTCCTCATGAGAAAGTGGATCTTGTTGGCCATTTGAGAGTTGTAGATTCTCCGGCACGCTTCGTAGGCCTCCCGCCGCCTCTTCTGGCATGGCTTCTCGTAATACCGCCTCCGCTTGACGTGGTCGATGATTCCATCCATAGTGAGGACTCTGTGAAGAAGAGAAAGGAGGAACGGTCTCTTTAAAAAGGCAGTGTAAGGTTTTCCACTTAGCCTCACAATTGCCCCAGCATTACTCAGGAGTTTAAAAGAGCCAAAGAAACTCCTGAACCGAGGTTTCAGCAAGCAAACAACTTTTATTTTGATCAAAATAGAGTTGGGTGACCCCACCTCTCTTCATGGCTGGTAGAGAGATGAAGGCAACAACCAGGAAAGATGTCTTCCACCTTTTATACCTTTCCAGGACAAAAAGATCAGGTCTTGGTACCAGGCATAAGATGGCACAAAAAAAATAATTCCTAGATGATGACTCTTACACAGCAACCCAGGCTCCATCCATAACTCCTTTTTCCCCCTCCCCTTACTGTGCTCTTTTCATATAAGCAATCACCTATACCAAGGGTAGGTAACCTGGGCTCTTTCATGACTCATGGACTTCAACTCCCAGAATTCCTGAGCCAGCCACACTGAGGGAAAAGGGAGAGGTTTCCAAGCTGAGCCAGGCTGGCTCAGGAATTCTGGGAGTTGAAGTCCACCAGTCATAAAAGAGCCATGGTTGCCTACCCCTGACCTATACCTAAAGCATGAAGCCCTTACTTTTCCAATCTATATATATATAAAGCATCTGATCAAGCAATTAACTACAAAATAACGATTACAAAAGAACAAAACAGTGATGACACGATAACGCTATAAGTATCAATATAAAATGGTTACTATACATAAAATAAATGCTAACGTCAAACTTAAAACATACTAAAATCACAAGCACAATAAAATCCCTTCAGCAGGAAGATCCGATGTTTATGTTTATTTATGTTTATTTAGATTTGTATACCGCCCTATCTCCCTTACGGGACTCAGGGCGATGAACGTGCACGTTTAAATCGGGCTTAATTCTCCCCCCCAACCCTCCAGCCTTCCTTCCTAAGGGTTTCCGAGACACCCACCCCCCCAATTATTTTTAACCCGTCAAGCGCAATAGGTAGCTGTATAAACCCCGGGGAGGGGGGAGGAAGGGGGGGGACACCAGAGGGAGATCTCAACAGTGCCGGATCTCCTCCGAAGTCCCAGCAGACGGGAAGGTCCGCCGTCCGCCTAACGCCCCATTCGGACGGAACCCCTGCTGCTTTCCACGCCGCACCGACCGCTCCGAAGCCTCGGCACGGGGGCTGGACAGTCGTGGTCGCCCTGCAGGGATCCGACTCCCGCCCAAACCCCGCTGCAACCACCGGGCCGAGAGGAAGACGCGCGGCCGGCTCGTTGTCCGGGAGCCGCTCGGGCGCGCCCTGTGCCGGCATCGCGCGGCTCCTGGTCGTCGGGGAACCGCGTGGCCCGAGCGCTTCCCCCGCGCGGCGCCCGGAAGGGCCGAAGCGGCGGCGGCGCTCCTACCTGGTGAGGACGCGGTAGGCCAGCTCCACGTCCCCGCCCGGGACCATCACCGTCCGGGCGATGAACTTGGCGTGGTGCGCCATCTTCACCCCGCGGACCGCTAGAAGGGCCGGGCAGCGATTTGGGCGGAAGTGCCCGTCCGGAGGCCGGAAGGTCGCACGGCCGGAAGCGGAAGCGCCCGCCGCGGGGCATCGCCGTGGCAACGGGCCCACGCCACCACCACCCCCAAGCCGGGCCGCGCGCCCCGCAGAGCGAAAATTTCCCCAGGGGATACAGGGAGACTCCAGAGCAGGGGTAGGCAACCTTGGCTCTTTTATGACTGGTGGACTTCAACTCCCAGAATTCCTGAGCTAGCCGTGCTGAGGAGAAAGGGAGAGGTTTCCAAGCTGAGCCAGGCTGGCTCAGGAATTCTGGGAGTTGAAGTCCACGAGTCATGAAGGGGCCAAAGTTCCCCCATGCTGGCTCAGGAATTCTGGGAGTTGAAGTCCACGAGTCATAAAGCGGCCTAGGCCTAGTCCAAGGGTAGGCAACCTTGGCTCTTTTATGACTGGTGGACTTCAACTCCCAGAATTCCTGAGCCAGCCATGCTGAGGAGAAATGGAGAGGCTTCCAAGCTTGTATACCCACAAGCATTGTGAAATTAAACATATTAGAAACGTGCGTTTTCTCTTTTCTTTCTTTTCCATTTAACCAGATTGAGCCACAGCAACGTGTGGCCGGGTACAGCTAGTAGGAAATGAATCTCCTTTCTCAGAGTATGTCAGGAGTTCCATTTTTGGTTTGTTCGTGTGTCACCCCCTCTTAATTATAAAAAGGAATGTAAGTTGGGTCTCAAGATTTCCTCTGAATGAGAGGAATCCTTTTTAATTACAAATTGTAATTAAATTATCCTCCTGCCTTGGTGCCTTATTGAAGTGTGGCCATACCAGGGCCTGGGTTAGGCCATATTTGGCCAAGAGAATCTAGTTTAGCATCAGATCACGAAGATAAATGTCTAAAGGATGGGAAAAAAGAACCATGAACTTCATCAGCAGCCATTGTGTCAGTATCTTTATTGAAACTAAAATTTTCCACCCTGTGGGTAGGTACAGTTCTGCTTTCTCTTGGACATATGTGAAATGTTTTCAGTTTTAAAAAAATAATGTTGGTGAAGAAGGGGAAAAAGGTCTGCAAGTCAGGGAGACTTGTCTTCGGGGGCATCAGGAGCGGCGGCATTTCACAGGCTTTCCTACAGACGCTTCACTCCCCGCCAGCTCCTCCCCAGACATCGACAAGTGGGGCAGGGACAGACAGAGGCTGCCAACAGTTCCTCTGGGGTCAGAGCTGCTTGCTGCCAGGACACCAGGCAAACTTTGACAGCGAGGTAGCTCCCCAGAGCCAGAGGACGGCATGCTAGGAGGGCAGCTCTGTGCAAGCGTCTTGGAAGTAGCCTGTGCAGGCATAACCTTTTGGAGAAAGAAAACCACTCCACAACTGCTCACGTTTGGCAAGATCTGCCCAAGCGCAGAGTTCATCTGATTAAAGTCCACTTGTCCCAGGAGAGGGTTCAAAACGGGCAACGGGTGGATCCAGGTCAGGTTCATAGCAGGCCCATTGCCCATGGGCACCGGCTGTCCCTGCCGAATTCCGATAGCGTGGTCTTGTAAGGAAGAGAGGTCCGAGGAGAGGCTCAATGCGTCATCTTGGATGGATGTGCTTCTGCTTCCCATGATCTGGTCTTCTACACAGCGGGACTGAGAGAGATGGTGGGGGGATCAAGCCGAGTGCAAGCACCCCCAAAACCCCCTTTTAACAGGACAGCAATAACACTTAGTACAGAAAGGAGAGCACATCCCAAAGCCGGCCCATGCCCTACAGCTCCACGGGTGAAGAGTGTGTTTACAGACGTACAATAATTTCAATGGGTTATGTACTGAATCCAGCCAAGTCAGGCAGAACAAAGCCGTCTTGGCACTCACCTGAGCTGCCCCACATGCCTCCTTGGCTGACACACCGTAGCTGGCCTGGGAGTCCTTTAAGGGAATCTGAGGGAACCAGATCTTGAGCATCTTTTCCACCTGCAATAGGGTGCCCAGGTATCGGTCCCTGCAAGCCAAAGGGAAATCAAGCCAGACAGATACACACATTAAGTAATGGAGCCAGCAGGTCCTTCCACACCTACAAAGCACACAAGCGAAGCTACCACACTGCTTTTAAAAGGACTCTTTCCTTGCAGAATGTAGTTCAGAGGGGGCCCCACCAAAAGTGTATTGTGACAAGGCAAGCCCCAGAACTGCAAGAGCACAGCAGTTGCTCAGTGGTAACAAGAAAGCGGTTAAGGCATCTGGCCAGGTGAGGGGGCTTGAGCAGCACTCGTTAGCAAATGACCCTTACCCCATCTGAGGCTTCTGAAGGACACCAACGATCCGCTGGATCCGATCCATGGCCACGCTCTGCTGGAAACTGCTTAAACCTGCAAGGCCAAAACACGAAGCTCAGTAAATGTGGGTTGGTGCAACTATGACTGGATGGATTAAAATGACTGAGCTCACCCCAGCAGCTTTTTGGGATAACCACAGTAGAAAACCTGCTGCCTAGAATCAGACTGCACCGGTGGAAGGGTGAGGTACAGCCAATAATCTCATCAATTCTCTATGATTTGTCCACATTGTTAACTCCAAACCCCCCACCCCACCGGTCTGTAGGAGGGACTGTAAATGGGTGGCCTGAAGGAGAAGTGTCTGATCTCCAAGACAACCTGTTGGGCTGTGTAAGAAGTTGATGCTTCAGAGGCTTCTGAATTACAATGGGACGGGATCGATCCCCCAAGCTGTGGCAGTTTCTCTACGAAGGGCCGGCTGTAAGGGGACTATCGGAGTCAAAGTGGCCAGAGCACACATCTCCATTGGCTGCCTCCAACAGGGCTCTCCTTCCAGGACAACACTTGCAACTTTCCAAACCCACCCACCCCCCCAGTTGCCAGGGCTTCCAGCCCACTTCGCTCCCATCAAGGCACCCAGGCAGGGGCGTCTGCTGCTCCTAACCTCGGTCAAAGCATCCCATTTTCAAGCGATTCAGAAGTTCCGACAGGGGGCGGACAAAGCCTTGGAGTTCCCAGCACTGTAAAAACGGAGCACAAAAAGAGTGTGAAGTGTGAAAAGCTGCACGACAAAATTTGAAAACGGTTCTTTGAGGAAGAAGGAAAAGATCAGGGAATGAACAGAAGACTATCTATTGATGTTTATTCCTGGGTCTCTTTTGCATGCTTTCTTGTAAAACAACACAGACCCAGCCACTGTCCCTGTCAACGGGGGCAGTCTGGCCTGTCTGTGGGAGAAGACTTGGGAACCAACGAAATTCCTCCTGCTTGAACCCTACTGGCAGAGCCCCCACTCCAAAATGCCCTTTCCAAGGTCTCAAGGAGGACTGACCAAATGATGCCTCCTTATGAAAATCAACCTCGTCAGCTGTGTGGCCTCTACCATTCTGCCAAGTGAAAACCGATCCTATTCAGCGTGGTGACAACTGCTCACCAAATCCCCAGTGGATTCTTGGGCACTGGACCTCTTCCCTTTCCATCGTACAAGGAAGGAGCAATGGGACCACCATCAGAACCAGGGGTTTCTTGGGTGGGGCTCCTCTCGCAGAGAGAAATCCCTAGCTGCCCATCCTCCCTCCGGGGGCTGGTCAATGGACTCACCTTTTGGGCAAAAGCTTGGTCCCCTTCCGTCCAACAGAGAGAGTGCTGCGTCTCTTCCGCTGCCGCTTCCTTCCTCCGCGGCCTCTTTATCCCAGGTGACGACACAGATGCCACGGGGCACGGAGGGGGCCGGTTGCCTCCTGTGGCGCTGCTCTGAAGCTTTCCGCCGCCCTCGGCCCTCTTTCGGTTCACCCTCTGTCCAGGCAGGCTTCCGTTTGGACTGACCCGGTGGCTACGGAGTGTCTCCCCAGGACCCTCTGAGTCGTGGTGGCCACCAGAGCCAGGAGGCTGCCATCCAAGGGGCCGCCTCACCCAGCCCTTGGGGCCCTGGTCAGGCAGGCCCGGCAGGAGGAGGAATCCTGGGCCATTGAGGCAACCGTGTCTCCTCGGCAGCCTCACCTCCTTCCCATTGTTGAGAAGGAAGATTCTGAAGCTCCCCTTTGGTGACAGGAGATGCTCTTCCTCACCCTCCTCCTCTTCCTCGCTGGTGGCACTTTCCACTGAATAGAAAGACTCCCAGGAAGAGATGCTTCTGGTGTCCGTGTCATCCATGGATTATCTCGATTGCTAAAAGACAGGGAGGGGGGTGTCCATCAGTGTTTAGCTATTTCCACAAACGTTCCTCCCTCCCCCGTTCTGGGACTGAGAGGCCCCCTCCTCTTCCTTTAAGCCAGGTGTTTCTCAACCTTGACAATTTTAAGGCATGTGGACTTCAACTCCCAGAATTCCACAGCCAGCAGCACTACAGGGGACAAAAGCCACCACCTGGCTGGGCCAGTCTGTCGCGGCAGCAGCCACAGGTCCCCAGGCTTTTCCAGAACAAAAAGATCAGGTCTGGGTACCAGGCATAAGATGGCACAAAAAAAATTAATTCCTAGATGATGACTCATACACAGCAACCCAGGCTCCATCCGTAACTCTTTTCCCCCCTCCCCTTACCGTGCTCTTTTCATATAAGCAATCACCTATACCTAAAGCATGAAGCCCTTACTTTTCCTATATATATATATATATATATAAAGCATCTGATCAAGCAATTAACTACAAAATAATGATTACAAAATAACAAAACAATGACGACACGATAACACTATAAGTATCAATATAAACTGGTTACTATACATAAAATAAATGCTAATGTCAAACTTAAAACATACCAAAATCATAAGCACAATAAAATCCCTTCACGCGGAAGGTGCGAAGCCAGGGCGAGGCCACCGAAGCCCCAACCGCGACCTCCCCCGAAAGGACTCGGAAGCCGCCTCTGCGCAGTTCGGGGGGGGGGGTCTCTGACCAGTAACCTCCCCTCCGTCTCCGACTGAGCAGGGCTCTCGGGGCCGCCGTTCCATGCTCCCCCCCGTCCCCCGATCTCACAACAGCAGGCAGGCGAGCTCCAGAGCCGTTCTACTCGCTTCGTTCAAAACGCACCGCTGGGGGACCCGAGATCGCCCCGGCCCCGGGCTCCAGATGGGAAACGAGCCGAACCCCGAGACTGACTTCCTGGCCACTCTGTCCGCACAGTCCCGGGAGGACCCCGCCCGAGCCCAGCCTGCCAAGGCGCCCCCCTCCCCCGACGCTCTCGCCCGAGCCCACTCGCTCCTGGCCCGGAATAAGGAAATCGTCCCGCTTCTGGCCCGGAATAAGGATATAGTCCCGCTCCTGGCCCGGAATAAGGATATAGTCCCGCTCTATCCCGCTCCTGGCCCGGAATAAGGATATAGTCCCGCTCTATCCCGCTCCTGGCCCGGAATAAGGATCCCGCTCTATCCCGCTCCTGGCCCGGAATAAGGATATAGTCCCGCAGTATCCCGCTCCTGGCCCGGAATAAGGAAATCGTCCCGCTCCTGGCCCGGAATAAGGAAATCGTCCCGCTCCTGGCCCGGAATAAGGATATAGTCCCGCTCTATCCCGCTCCTGGCCCGGAATAAGGAAATAGTCCCGGCTCCTGGCCCGGAATAAGGAAATAGCGCCGCCCGCCACGAGCGCCGATCCGCTCCCGGAAGGTCCCGGGCCGCCCGGCGAGGCAGCAGCCAAGCCGCGCCCGTCACCCTCCAGGCGGGAAGCGATTGGGCAGACGCGGCAGCTGCACCGGACAGCCCGGCGGCCGCTCCTCCCTGGCCCAGCGCCCTTCGGTCGAGGCGGCCGGCGAGCTCTGCGCACCTGACCCGAAGCTGGGACGCCCTTGCCCCGGGCCTCCTCTGCCTCCCCGCCCGAAGCCCTGCTTGGAAAAACGCTACCCACCGGCTGCTCCGGGCGGCTCCGACGACGAACTGCCGGCCGCCAGGGAAGGCGAGGCGAGCCCGGCTCAGGGCCCGGACCACGCGGCCACGTGCCGAGGCGCACGTGCCCGCAGGCCCCGCCCCCTCCCCCTCCCGGCCCGCCGCGGCCCCGGCCAGCCATTGGTTAGGCGGCGCGGCCCCGGCCAGCCATTGGCTCGGCGCCGTCCAGCGGTGGGCGGTGCGGCGCCCCCATTGGCGGGCGGCCCGAGCCAGGCGCAGGCGGCGGCACGCGGGTCGCAGCGAAGCAGCGGCGAGCGGCCCGCCCCGTGTCTCTCCCGGCGCGTCCCCGCGCACGTGGCGGCGGCGTGGCCGAGCGGCCTCCGCGGGGTTCTGCTTTTGCGGGACGGCCGGCTACCGGGATCCGCGAGCTCGTCTCGCGCTCCCCGGCCTGCGGGGCGCTTCCGACCCGGGCCGCTACCGGCGCGCACGGCTGGAGAAGGGACGAAAGAGGCGGCGCGGTTGAACGGACGGCGGCGGGGCTGCTGGCCGAGCGGCCCACCCGCTCCCCTCCTTCGGCCTTGGGACGAGGCTCTCCCCTCCGGCTGCGGAGGAACTGTCCCGCCGACGAAGCCCCCTCCCTGCCCCGCGGCTCCCATCGGTGCGGGAAGCCCGCCGGCCACTCTCTCTCCTGATGGTGCGCGCTCGAGGACGGATCGCCCCCGGTCCCCGGAAGCCCCGCTCGCCCGTTACGCAACCCTGACTCGGCTCTTGGTGTCGGTTCGTCTTCGGGGACGCGCAGATCCCGAGTCTGCCAGAACGTCCCGTGATCGTCACAAGCGTTAATCGGGATTATACGATTTAGTAGAGGTGTAAATGCAATGCAACGTCGTGATTTGAACGCGCCTCCATCCCGGGAGGGAGGGGGGTGGACAGCGAGAGAGAACCCCAGTTCTTCCCAAAGGGCCAGGGACACACACACACACCCCCAGCCGCCTCTTAACAAAGACAACACAACTTTGCTTGAAACACCCATAAAACAACACCACGTTCCTCTCCTTCCCGTGAACTCCAAAAAACCATGGAATGCTGGCGACATGTTCCAGTCTGTGCTGTGTTTTTAATGTCACTGAGAATTAAGATTCAGCCATCGAGCTTAACCTGAGCAGGGGGTTGGACTAGATGACCTCCAGGGTCCCTTCCAACTTTATTATTATTATTACTACTACTACTACTACTACTACTACTACTACTACTACTACTACTACTACTACTACTAAATCAAAGCCAGTGGAGACCCTGGCTTTAACCTGGACTGGCATAGCTTGGGTTCCACCGCATACGCAAGTGTCACACTGGGGGGGGTGTGTGTGGTTTGAACAAGAGACAGGAAGCAACCCTCTCCTTTTACTTGAGAAATAAATGCACCGTGCCCCCTTTCTCCCTTCCGCCCCTTCACAAAAGGCAGAGGATCTGCTACGGAATCGCTTGGCTGTCCCCCTCCCGTGCTCCCTTGCCATGTTCTGCACCCCCACCCCCAGACTGCACAATCAGGCAAACACTGGCCGGGCAACTGGGTCGCCATGACCTGCTTTCTTCCAGGGTGGCAAAAAACCAGCGCAGAAGAGGGAGCTGGTGGGGTCCAGCCCAAACTGGAGGGAGGGAAGGAGTCCTGCGTTTGCCTGCCTGCCTGCTTCCCTCCAGGCATGGGCCCTAATTGGGTAGAACCAGGATTCCATCAAGGCAGGTTCTGCTTCTTGTCTTTTTGCCAATCTTCTATCAGCAAGATAACAAAAGGTCATTGGCTGCAAGGACCTTTGGCCCCCCCACTGCGGTGGCTGCACCAATTGGTTACCTTTCCAGGCAGCAACAGCTCTTGTGGTTCTCCCCAGTTAAGCAACAAAGCCTATTCCATGGAGGGGTGTGTGTGTGTGTGTGTGTGTGCGCGCGCGTGTGCGCAACCCTTTCTCTGCCAGTCACGCTCTTTTTCTTTTATCCTTCACTATTTATTATGGATTCAGCAATGCATAAACTTCCTATATCAGAAAAATAAATTGTGTGTGTGTGTGTGTGTGTGTGTGTG